CAGAGTAATTTTCAGCACAATCGGCCGATGACGATTAATTTTAAAATGCCAAAAATCGGTCAATCGGTCAACCTCTAGTTATATTGTCGGCGCCGATAGCCTTGTGGGCAGTGCACTGACATACAGTGCCGTTGCGCTACGAGCATCCCAAGTTTGATTCCTGGCTCGAGGACCTTTCCCGATCCTGCCCCTCTCCCAATTCACTTCCTGTCAATGCAATACTGTCCAATCACAATAAAGGGCAAAAATGCAAAATATAAATCTTTAAAAAGGGTTATATTGACCTATTAAGATTTTGCTCGTATCTACCTAGTAAATATATTTTTTGCTATTTTATTCAAAGTTTTCAGAGGTATAACAATTACAATTTTAACAATATTTCAAGTGTGACTTGTGAGATTTGTTGTATTTTGAATCCAATCTTTCTTTGAAATCAGTATTATCAACTTTTTGCCTTTTACAAAGTTAAGGATTCCTTCGTTGGTAACACTTTATAATAACGTTCAGTTGTAAGTCATTTATAAGTGATTAGTTAATGATGAACTAATCATTTACAAAACATGCGTTCATAAATGATTAAGTGATATGTTAATATTTTATCTATGTTTTGTAGATTAAGTTATAAATACCTTTATAAATTTTTAAATACAAACACTAGCTTTCTATTTTTTCTATTCTATCTACTTGTTTTTCTTTGTTTGTGTGTGTGTGTATAATATGTATGTATATATGTTGTAATGACTTGATTACTTAAATTTAGGGAATTAATTATTATTAATTCATTCAGGTTTTGAAAGGACTCGGATCTGAAAATTCTGAGTCAACCTGATTAAAGCTGAATTCAAATCTGATAGTTTACACTTTAAATCGTGTGTGAGTGAGTAAGTGAGAGAGTGTGTGTGTGAGTGAGAGAGTGAGTGTGTGTGAAAGTGTGTGTGTGTGTGAGTGAGTGAGTGAGTGAGTGAGTGAGTGAGTGAGTGAGTGAGTGAGTGAGTGAGTGAGTGAGTGAGTGAGTGAGTGTGTGTGAAGGTGTATATATATATATTTATATACACCTTGCTACGTGTACTGCGTTAGGCTAACCGAGACTTGTCATTTGCACTTATATATTGTTGCTCTTTTGTTAGTTTTGACTGCTTTTATTGTCCTCATTTGTAAGTCGCTTTGGATAAAAGCGTCTGCTAAATGACTAAATGTAAATGTAAATAATTTACAAGTGATTAGATGATGATTAATCATTTACGAAACATGACTATACGTTCACAAATGATTATTAAGAAATATGCTAACGAATTTCAAATCTGCAGTAAGTTATCTTAAAAAAAATAGCATAATTAAATAATTAAACAGATCCTTAGTAAATGGTTAATACACTGAAAAAAATTATACTACATTTTTTTAAGGTAAGTGGTTGCAAATAATTTATTTTAGCTACATTTAAATAAAAAAATGTTGAAAGTTAGTCAACTAAATTTGTTTATTTAAATGTAGCTAAAATAAATTGATTGCAACCACTTTAAAAAATTTTGTAAATTCAATAATTTTATTCAGTATAGTTAAGTTACTATTATTAATCACTTAAATGTCATCATTGTACTATTTTTCTTACCTGTTACAAATGATCTGTAGGTGTATACAAGGCATTTACTAATGTGTTTACACAACAGGTTTTGAATACTGTGTGAATCTAGTGTGTACTGCAGTGTAAGAACTGACTGATGAGGGTTAGACAGATGTCTTCTGACACACTTGGAGTATTTTAATGCTGTGAGATAATAGTACAATGTTGACATCTCAATGATTTATAAGTGATTAATAATATATGAACTAGTAACTTATTAACCATCTACTAAGGATCTGTTTGATTATTTCATGATATGCTATTTTTTAAAGATAGCTTACGACAGATTTGTAAATCGTAAGCATATTACTTAATAATCATTTGTGAACGTATAGTCGTGTTTTCTAAATGATTAGTTCACCATTATCTAATCACTTGTAAATGATTTATAACTTAATCTACAAAACAAGATACAAATATTAACATATCACTTATTAATCATTTATGAACACAGTTATGTTTTGTAAATGATTAGTTCATCATTAACTAATGACATATACTGTAAATGACTTACAACTGAACATTATTATAAAGTGTTAAAAAAAAGCATCCCAGGTTTCGGTAGTTACATAAAACATATAAAAGACATAAAACACTGCATTAGGGCAACTATTCACAAGTAGTGTATTACTAAACTGATTGTCTTTTAAGGGTCATCAATGTAAGTTCATGTGCTCTTTTGTTAGAGGGAGCTGGGTTTTGGAACGTGCAGAGGAGGAAGAAGGGAACAAATGCCCAACGAGATCACGAGGTGTCACGCTGTATGGATCTTGTGTGTTTGCAGGCCTGGAGAGTGTCACAGAAATTTGCCTTCTCCTGTTTTCAGCTGCTACGATGGCTTTATACATAGCAGTCACGAGGTAGCACTAACTGGCTCTATCAATGTCTCTCTAGTTCGTCGAGACAAAGCAGTTCTCTTTTCCCTTGATTGGGTTAGCCGTTGTCATGTTGAGAGGAAACTGCTCCAGACAATGAGGGTGTTGAGATTGTCGATCAGTTTTACGACCTTGTGATGGCTGTGTGGGGGAATATTTCAATCCTGTTTTGGGAATGTGTTTATTCTGCAGCTTTTTGGTGGGTCTGTTTTGCAGAGGCCTTACACAATGAAGAACAAAATTAAAAATAAATCTTCCCTAAGTCCCTTCTTAAGCTTCCTGAACAAGAATAGTTTGTAAAAAAAAAAACCTCTGCTACACATACACATGCTGCATTATAAGACAATTGAACATAATATGAAACTCGTTAGAAAACAATGATATCATTTTGATCATGAACCAAAATGATATACAAGACTCAAACTTTTTGACATTGTTCTTTGGGGAGGAACTCCATCTTTGAGTTGATCTGAAACTCACAGTTGAATCTGCTGGTTTTGAAGATGAAGATGAACTTTATTCACTGTAAAAACTCGTGTCATTTGTAACGACTGGTTGGGACAGATTTGTCCAGATGATATTTTATTGCTTGATGCATTATTGATTTTGGCATCAGACCCGAAAGTGATCTGAAGATGATCTACTTGCTGTGAATGTTTTTTGTATGTTTGCGTAGATTAGATGAATGATTGAAATGCTTCCCACATGTAGTGCAGTGATACTGTTACGTATCCGGTCCATGAACTTACGTCTGCTAGCCATCAGAGGTCACCCTTCCATTTTCATTGACTCTCGCACTACACACTGTTGCATATCACCCCGGACTACATATCCCATCATTCATTGCACTGATTGCACACAGCACTGATTGCACGCAGCTGTTTCATATCACTCACTCACTATTTAACACTCACTCTGATCCCTTCCCGGGGCCGAGTATTGTTTAGCGCTTATCATTTGATAGCTACACTACAGAGCCCTCGTTAGTTTACCCTGCCTTAGCCTAGTCTTGCCTTGTCTGTTTTCGATCTGTGCCTGTTTTTCCTGGATTTATCCCTTTAGTCTCGCCCTTTTGATTCTGTTCGCCGTTCGTTGACCTTCGCTAGCCCTAGGATTATTCTTGCCTTGCCTTCGATATACCTGTTTGCCATTGTCTGACCCATGCCTGTTTCTGACCACGCCTGTGAATAAAGCTTGCACATGGATCCGCACGGCTCACGTCTCGTCAGCCCCGTAACAGAATACTCGGCCACACAAGGATCCAGCGGCTTTTC